TCACGGCGGGAGTTTCATACCGCAAATCCGATCGAAACTATATTCGATTCCAAAATCCCTATAAGGCATTTAGATTTAGATAGAAATCCGCTTTATACGGAATTCGGCACTCATAATCACAGCCAGTCCGATATGGTAATCGAAACTTGAATAAAAAACCTGGTCTTGATCTGAAGTTGAAAGCCGATTTCTACTGAAATCGGCATTTTAAGAATGAATTTACATACAGGTCCGACCGATACCCAAAATATCAGTCCGATCGAAACCTAAATCGTTACTTTAAGAGTCGAATTAAGTATCGACCTACATCATACTTGAAGTTCAAACTACGTTTCTACTCAATTCACGGTGACAGTACACGGACCGAGCGAAGACCGACCGGGTACCGTGCGATCACAGGGCTCACCGTTCCTTCTAAGTCCGGTGATGGTCTGCTGTCATCGGTCGGTCATCGTCAATCTCGCCGTACAGTGGATGTCCAAAGAGCGACCGCAATAACAGGAACTACGAGGCGTGACTATGTAGTATTATACAATGGTGTATGAAAATATAGAATACAACTAACGCAAGATGCGGGCGGCATGCTCCCGAAGTACCTCGAGGAGAATGGGGCTACGTCGATCTGCATGTCCAATCTGCTTCCGCCACGCCTGATAACCACTTGGTTGACGACTTCCGGTAGTCTGTAGGTATGATTGTCGACGTTGCACGAACCAATTCTCGGCACGCTCGCTCCAGAATCCGAAGTCCAGTCCACTTGATACCCAAACAGAAGTCGGCGGCCACCAAGAGACTGTCTGGGCATTCTGCGAACTATAAAAGCCCAAGATGAACAACTCTTCATCGGTCTCCAGGCGATCGTCGACAAAGTTTCGGAGGCCATGTGACAGGGAGAAACGGACCTCAGACCAGTGAGCGAATGCTGTGGGCATCGGAGGCATTGGCTGAGGATGGACCTGCCGAACTATCCGCCAGATGAGACCACCGATGAGGGAAGCAGCACGAACGACGCGGGGATGGATTGCCAAGAAAGACCGTAGATGGTTTTCATATTGCTCGTAATCTATACGATAGAAAACGCGATGCGCCGGTAGTGTCAGCGCGACTCGTGGGCGGTCACGACGCAGTCTCCATGGGAGTGCGAATCCCGGATGGCCGATCTCTGCAGCCATGGGCGCGAAACAAGGAACACCGTGGCCAACGAGGAATGCGATGACATCCCCCTCGGTGTGTAAATGGGGATGACGGAGTATGTGAAGAGCGACCAGAGGATCCTCGATGACGATAAGGGTTGCCCAGGTCCCATGTAGTGGAAGGACCAGGTAGTACAGACGACGGTCTTGCACCGTATGTTGGATACGGAACCGTTGGCTCCCAGCGAGAGTTGCTGTGCGGGACTCCCAATGCAAAGCCCACATATTAGGGGGGGGCGAGATGAAGTACTGTCGTTCAGGGATGCAAGTGTATAACGCCGCAAGGAACTCGATGACTCTTTGGCGCTGTCGAAGAGACACGCCTGCCGTCTGCGCTTCCCTCACTGCCAGGCTGGTCGCGGAATCCGTTGATGATGGTATGACGAAGCCTGCTGCAAACACAGCCCGTTCCAAGCTGGAGATCATTGATTGCGCAGGGGGGACGATGTTGGCGGTGGTCTCCGGGTTAAGTCCGTAATGGTAGACCATGAAATGGTACCACTCTAGCTTCAACAATCAGTACCCATTCATCACACGAACGAACGAGCGCACCTGGTTCCTGAACCGCAGAAACCGCGACTGGCTCCAGAGGCTCGACATCCATAGAATCGAGGGGATCTGACGTTGAAGACCGGCGTTCATCTGCTCTGTGGACGTCCTCGATCGACGCACTGCTGGGGCCTGGCTCATCGGGTGCCTGACGAGATGACTGGAGAGACCTGGCGATGGCGAGGCGCAAGTTCCTGGCCTCCGCCTCATCTGCGATCTCCCCTTCCTCGTCCGAGGAGACATGCACGACAGTTGCAGGGTCAGGATAGAGAGATTTGCCCTTCCCTTTACCCTTCGAACCGGTGACGTGAGCGCTCATATCCTGGCCGTCCGCATTGCTGATAACCTGGCGCCCACCAGCATCGCTGTCGTAGAGTGGCTCGTGCACGAGAGTCTACACAGAACTAAGTTGAAATCGTCCAGACAACACAGTGAAGACTCACGAGAGTTTGCTTGCCCTTGCCTTTGTTCACCGGCCCGTCGGCAGCAGTATTTATATCCTGGCGATCAGCATCACTTGGAGTCTGACCGCCGCCCATATCAGTGTCGCGGTCCACATCCATGGCATGGTCACCGCTACCGGGTTCATTGACGTGGCTCTGGCTAGCGAGTGACTGCGAGGTATTAAGTCGAAGTACTCCAGAAGTTATGGTAAAAACTCACGAGAGACGTCGAGGACGGACCAGGACTCGGAGCACGGGTATATTCTCCCGTGCCCTTGTCAACTGACCCATAGATGGCAGTGATCGCGTCGTGACCATCAACATCACTTATAGCCTGACCACCGCCTGCATTGGTGTCGTGGTCCACATCCATATCATGGTTGCCACCGGGTTCGGTGACATGGTTGCGACCATGCTGAACAGCGAATGATGGCTCAAGCCCGGCAAGAGCCTGTGCGGAATGAAGGTGAGATGGGTATTTCCACACAGTCGGGAAATTTACTTACAGCAGGTTTGACGACACGAGCGTCCGGTATGACGACTGCATCCCGCAATGCACCAGTAGTCGACTCAATCGGAACGACCGACTCTATGGATGGCAGTGGAGAAGCACGTCTTGCAGGCAAAAGAGGACTGGATGATGATAGCGCAGAGGCAGGATGATATAGGGGAAGAGGCTCTTCCAAAGGATCCTCGCGAGAAAGCGAATGATAAACAGGTGGCGGTGTCGCTGACGGAGGCGGCAGGAGATCGGAAGGGATGTATCCCGGTCTCCCTTCCACGGGATCATTGAAACAGTAAAGGTCCGCGACATAGTCATCATCACATCGCGGGGGTGATGCGGGTCTCGGGTTCAGCCAGGGAGCAACGTCCCATTCGTCGAAGAGTCCGTCGTACAGTCGCGCGCTGGGATGCTCGTCGTACAAATATTGGGAGCGCATAGCCTTCGATGTTGGGAGGCGCTCGATGACTTCGCCTGGGTCCCCACCGGTCCAATGGAAGACACTCGTATGTGAACCAAGTAGATATTTCTTAGCACGTTGCTCCCGATCGTAAATTTCCGCGCGAGTTCTGTAGTCTGCATGCCTTGCAAGGTAATATTGACGGTAGCGATGCCTGCGAGCTATGAATGAATAAAACGATTCGCCTGGCTGGAATTCGGCGATTATAGGAACCACTTGATCGGGCGAGTAGTGGCTACCAGGCGGCGACGTCATAGGGATCCGATGCAGGAGGCCCCCCTCACGGAGGATTTGGTCGCGCATTTGGTCGAGTTCTGAGTCAGGAATTTGAGGAACCAATGCAGCAATCCCTTCCTCGCGTTTTTGTCATTCTACACGTTTTTCTTCAGCCTGTTCTGTGCGGAACGCGGCATCTCTCTGCTGCTTCGAGGGAATGCCCATCAGAGCCTTCTCTTTCCGCTTCTCCTTCCTCTTCTGATTTTTGGACAACCGAGGAGGCACTGACGATGGCGGCTGAGGATCTGGCGTACCCCAAACCATGCCCTGATGCCCACTGGACGAAGAAGTCGCATCCTGCATCGTCGAAGACGATGTCCCTACGCCACCGCCCGAAGAAGACGATGGACCCTGGCCCAAGTCCGATGAAGTCACATCCCTGACCGGCGCGCCCCAGCCACTACTCGAAGACGCAGGCCAGACATCACTCGAGGACGCACCCCAGCCACCACCCGAGGACGCACCCCAGCCACCACCCGAGGACGCACCCCAGCCACTAGACGCATCCCAGTCAACACTCGAGGACGCACCCCAGCCACCACCCGAGGACGCACCCCAGCCACCACCCGAGGACGCACCCCAGCCACTAGATGCATCCCAGTTAACACTCGAAGACGCACCCCAGCCCCCGCCCGAGGAAGATTCCTTCTGGATTGACGTGCCCCAGCCGGCGCCTGAGGTATCGCGCGAAGAACGCACACTTTGGGTGGAGGAAGACGCCGTACCCTGACCGCCAGTCGATGCTTGCGACGAGCCAGTGACCTGCCACGAGCTCCCAAGATTTCCATGGGACCGTGCTGACGGAGCGACGCGTATCATCTCCAGGTCCAGCCTATATGTGGGTGGAAACTGCAGAGTAACTTTCTTGAGACGCTTGAAAGGTCCGCAATATATGTAGACCGGGAAGTGAAATCCGTCGCCTCCGACGACTTGCTTCATGAGGGCGTTGAATACGTCGATATGAAATGCATCTGGATCAAGAACGATACCGACATGGTCAACGCGTTTGAGTTGGAAAACCCAAGAGTCGGAGAGAGCCGAGTAAAATTCGCTGTAACCAGCTTCATTGGAAGCAGTATACAATACGGATTTCTCCGCATGGTCCTCCTGAGTAACCCTCCGGTACAGGTAAACCAAGAAAGATGTCAAGGCAAATTGTTCGACGAAGGCGGTCCGCGTCAACCGCCACAATTGCCATGCGTCCGATGGCTTCGGGCTCCAGTGACGATATGAGGGAGTGGCGATGGTGCGGATCGAGGAAGGTAGGGGGAGCTCGTGATTGACGTAGGGATGAAGCTGCTGTTTGATGAGAGGGCGTATGCGGTGGCGAAGAGTGTTTTGAATCAGGGTTAAAAATCTTTCGTGACGCTCCATTGTTTGCCAGAACTCGATGCGGCAGCGGGAATGATTCCCGTCTTCAAGAGGCACGGACTTTTCGGTGTCCGGTTCGGCGTACATTGCCAATGTCGACCAGCCTTCGCCGCGAAGCGTCCTTGGATATGCGATGTTGACGAGTGCCGTGCCCCGAAGCCAGCCAATGAAGAACGAATTGTGATAGACCACGACTCCAGGGAGTGGTAGACCCTCGCTCGGAACATCGCTGTGGGTATGCGATACATAGACGTGCTCGTCGACCCGCCAGACACCCTTGACGCGCGATTGAGGCGCTTGAGACATCTATTTTGTGGCAAGTCAATGAAATCGTAGCCGTACTCATATATCCCAGCACATACCGTGAAAGCGTAGAGCAAGGAATGATGTAAAGCAAGCTGGAGCAAGCAAGCGTAGAGCAAGGAAGGATGTAAAACAAGCTGGAGCAAGTAATCAGTAAAATCGATCATTGCCTGAGTAGGATACGTACCGGGAGTACTGCAGACCGTGAAAGCGTAGAGCAAGGAATGATGTAAAGCAAGCTGGAGCAAGCAAGCGTAGAGCAAGGAATGATGTAAAGCAAGCTGGAGCAAGCAAGCGTAGAGCAAGGAAGGATGTAAAACAAGCTGGAGCAAGCAATCAGTAAAATCGATCATTGCCTGAGTAGGATACGTACCGGGAGTAGTGCAGTGAAGCGAAAGCCAGAATCCTAGCTAAGACAGCTCTTCGATGCCCAGAGCCGCAAAAAGTCGGTCAACACCGACTTAGGTACAGGAAATCACCACGAGCGTTGTTCGTCGCCGCCGACGAAATGGAACGTCGCCCAGCCACGAAGTCGGTCGCCACCTCCTGAGGTAAAGAAACAGCCGCGAATGTCGTTGGTCACCACCAACGACAGGCCGAGGAAAAAATATAGTGAGCGCTAACTTTGAGGTGAGTCGGTAATGGACGATGGAGAAAGACAGAGAAAGCCTCGTTGACTGGACGTTGACAGTCGATCACAGGATCACGTGACACAACGAACTCAGCGCCTTTCACCGTTCGCTATCTCCTTGTCTTCGTCTTCGTCTCCACCTGCTTATCTTGCTTGCTCGACGGCCTCAACGTTGGTGGCGACCAGCGTGACCGCTCGTGCACGACTATGATTGCGTTGGCTCGGCCCTTACTCCTTGTGCGGTGGTGACTGCACTGTGGCGTTTTCTTCTTGCACGGTGGCGACTGCGCTGGCTTATGGCTCGCTGGCCGTTGTGTTACTTTCGGCCGTAAGTTCACCGTTTCGAAGTCATGACCATTGCGAGCTTACCCATTCTGTAGGAGCGCGTTCTTCATGCCCTCCTTTGTATCTTGCGTGCACGGCCGACCGTCGATTGCGTCGCTGGTGGGCGAGGTCGGTGAGATCGAGGTGGAGCCACATGTGCCGAGGCAATGGCCCGGGCTCTCACCGGGGCTGACGCTCCCGCCGCTGCCTTCGCCCGCGATCACGGAGGGCTCGGGTGACGTGCGTGAAGGCTTGTTGGATCCGAACATCCGCGGTGGACATTATGGGGGTATGGTCAGCCCATCGGCGGTGAGCTTGGCGGATCATCGGGATTACACCCGGCCTATCGGAGCGGTGAGTGTTTGGTTTCTCTCCTTTGCGGTTCCGGCGCTCATTCATATGCGTCGGTTATCGTTAGCTCGTGAACAATGGTGGCGGCCACGCTGGCTCATTGCTCGCCGTTGATTTTGGTTGCCGTAAGTTCTTCATCTCGTCATCGTGTCTGTTGCAAACTCACCTTTGTAGGAGCGCAATCTCCATGCCCTCCTTTATACTTCCGTCAGTGTTGGCGACTTTGTCAAAGTGAGTACTTCGTTATTGCATCCATGACTGAGCTGACATTCCTCGAAGCTGTCAGTGTTACCCGCGGCGGCAATCCATGAACTCCGAGCGCTCGACGCCATGAGCATCTCGAGGATGAAACTCCAGTTCTCAGCGCAATTCAGCGGCGGAACCACTGCCGCTGAAGTCATCGATACCCATCCGTGTCTCCGTCGATTGAAATGCCCTCGAAGTGATCCACCAACCACTCCGCAGTATCTTCGGCCCTCAACGCCGTCAGGCTCACAATCGCCAATCTCCAGCCCTTTCGACACCGTCAGCGACGTCTCACCGTTCGAAGTCATGTCGCCACATTACGCTCGTCCAATTATGCGAGTCCGTACAGCTGCGCAATGCGTCTTCCGTAC